GGAGTGGAGGTCTTCATCTTCCTCTCCTTCCCCCGGCGAGCACTGCATCCAATACTCTCAGAACTGGAGTGTTTTCGTCTTTGCGGTCGCCATGACGTAGCCAGCGTAGCCACTGTCTCTAAATTCACTGAACTATGTCCATATCGTCGTATGTCCATACATATCCGTTTCATCGACTGCAGTATTCGACGTTTTCAAAGCGCAATCTTCCGCAGAGTCTTTCTCTCGAAAACTCGTAACGTCGATTCCATAAAGCAGGACGGGAATAATGAGTGACTTTTGGAGTTTGATTTTTTGTTCATCGTGAGGACTTTACTTCTCAATTTCTTACTCAGTCCGAAGTAGCACTTGTTGGCTGGATTTCTAGGCTGACATTTTGTTGCCAAGTCGTGAATGCGACGACTGTTTTTTTGATGGCAGGACATATTTCGTCTTGGCCTCGTTCACTACTAGACCCATTTGGTTCGCTGCCTTATCCCGTGTGGAGAAAGCAGAACATAACAAATATAAACCAATAGATACATATACAACGGCGTCTTAGTAGTGTCTTATAGCCTATCATTATACTAAATCTGACAATTTGTTTATTGACGTACCCATTCAATCAAAGTGAGCTTCATCGTTAAACTAAATTTTCTTGTGAAATCAGATCAGGATCGGTGGCCATTTCACTTTGTGCTTATTCACCGAACGTGCGTTGCGTTTAATTGTTCTTTGGTTTCAACTCTGTCACGAATTGATTTTGTACGTACAACAAGATCCTTCCGCAAAATCTTCCATAAAATGGAAGGACACAGGTCCTGTTGTTACGCGCGTTAACTGATAGACTCATTCGGGTTTTTTTCAATGCTCTGCTCGAAACTCTACAATGAAAGCGGCTTCGGTGCTGTATGACATCTCTGAGGTTGCGCATTATCCGCTAAAATATACATTGTGCAAAACCAACCCACGGCTGCTCGAACTACCAACTCTGCTAGGTTATTATATCGACCGCCATTATTGTCATTATATGGCAATATATTTGCACGATTCCACATTGATCTTTAATAAGTCTGTGCATTGTAATGTGACAAGTCAAGCTGAGTATAAATCAAGTCACAACTGTCAAAAAGCCCAACTCCGACAAAAGTATTGCCTCATTGAAAACCACGCGTTTAAAGACAGACCCGTTATTAGTAGATTGGCTTTCTTTTAAGTATAACGGATTTTCTTTGATGAAATTTAAATCCATTTCAAGGTTCCCTACTTTTAAAACGTAAAAACTCCAATGGAAATTATCTCATTGAAATGTTTAGATGGTCCATCCGTGGAGTCCAATTTTTGACGACTCGTTCCTTAAGCTGTTTTTGCTCTAAGGCCTGAATCGAAGCGGTATTGTACCCATAGACTTTAGACTTTACATATCCCCACAGAAAAAAGTGAAACGGTGTGATATCACACGATCTTTGTGGCCAATCGTAAAATTGGTACAAGTGGCCAATTATGAAATTTATGATCGATTAAACTCAAAACTGATAATTTATTTTCTTAATTTACTCTTGAATCAAGTACATCATTCCTGGTTTATTGACAGATTATATAAAGCAAAATTACTTACATTAGCTTTATTTATTCAAGAACTAAACAACTAAACAAGAGGTTCCGAGTATCCAACATACCACGACAACGATTATTAATACAAAAGGTTTTCAATACATTTGCAAACCCTTGAATACATAATCGTACTCTACTAAGATTTCCACTTCGTGAAAGTGTATGCTTTTCAACATAGCCTATATTTCTTGTAATACTCATCGGTATCGGAAGATGTCGCGTAGTGATTTGTGTGTCATTTTCAAAGTAACTAACTGAGGCATTTATTAATTAAATATTATATTGTATTCCAAGGCAGTATTTATAATATACTTATACTTATATACATGCTATGCATACATATACATATACGCTGAGTTAGAACAAAACAAACAAAAAAATGAAAAGGAAAAGGAAAAATGAAAGAGATAATTGTAATTTAAACTGCTAATAAACAACAATGAAAAAAAAAACAAAAAAAAAATATTATAAATAATCTTCAAACTTTATTGAAATATAATAAAAAATAAAAGTAAATAAAAAACCTTAACAAAATATTTCATACATTTTGGCAAAGCTTACTCTGTATGTAGTACCACTACACCAACAAACAAATTTATGATTTGAGAAAACACACACACTTCAGCATTTTTGAAGCGATCAGTCACATACACACATACCAATTATAGACACAAAAGAATTTCCGAACACCAAGCGACAAACCGAAGACTTCGGTTTTACACAATTGGACATTGTAAAGAGCACAAGTGCACATTTGTTAACATTGCAAAAAATACATACATACAGTATGCGACAAAACCATGTATACCCCATGAAAGTTGAAAAGAAAATTATCATATCTTTTGAAAAGTGAAGTGTATTTTTTTGCATGGTTTTTGTTTTTGCTTATGAGTATACTACAAACATACAAAAAATTTAATTAAATTTCTGCATTTTTGTGCTTGTGACTGCAAAATACGCAGTAATCTATAAAAAAGAAATTCTTAGCAACGACAAAAGTATGTATACCCGTATAAATTTTGAGGTTACCTTCACACTAGAGCTTCAATATTTAGTGTTGCCACCCTTAGCATTAATTACTGCCAATAGACGTAGAGGTATGCTGTCAACCAAGTTTTGAAGAAGTGATTGGGGTATGCTTTCCCAGGAGTATTTCAATTTATTAAAAATCTCGACTTTATTTGAACGGCAAGAAGATCGGTCAAGCTTGTCACCCAAATATTGCCATAAGTGCTCAATGGGGCTTAAGTCGGGGCTTTGGGCAGGCCATGGTAGGAGTTCTATCGATTTTTGTTCGAAGTATTCCTTTGCAACCCGACTTGTATGCTTGGGATCGTTGTCCTGCTGGTACAGGGTGGGCCAAAAGAACCAAGGGGTGTAACTTAAAAGAGCCATTGTGTCTCGGGCAGTAGCTACGTCCTGCTGAAACCACATACCAGGTCTGTTTGCAAGAGCAGGACGTAAGAACTTTTCTATCTTAAACCGATACCGCTCTCCATTTACGGTTACAGCACTTCCATCTTCATTCTCGAAGAAGTAAGGCCCAATGACATTTTCAGATGTTATCCCCCACCATGCTGTACACTTGATGGGGTGTAATTGGCGTTGATGAATGGCTCTTGGATTTTGAGAACCCCAGAACCTACAGTTCTGCTTATTAACAAAGCCATTCAAATGAAAATGAGCTTCATCACTCATAATCACGATATGCTCTTTGCCTTAAAATAATTGATCTCTGGTTTAAATAATAAAATTCGATTGTTCTGCTTCTCTGTTCAGTTGTGTACCTCTCCATTATAAATTCTCCAAGTGTTGTCTATATAATCTGAAAGAAAAAATAAAAAAAATTAATAAACGAAAAAGTTATTAAACTTTTACACCCCTTGGTTTCTTTTGGCCCACCCTGTATATGAAGTTATCCTGTATGCCCATTTTTTTCGTAGCTTTCTCCAAGTTAGTACTTAACATTTGAACATAAGACTCTCCCGTCATTTTACCTTCGATCATTACGAGATTTGAGAGACCAATGTAGCTAAAACAACCCCAAATCAATACATTTCCGCCTCCATGGTGCTTTGAATGCATTTACTCTGAAGCTTCTCGTGGCTCTTTCGCCAAACTTTTTGCCGTCCTTTAGTATTTTTAAATTCAAATTTGCTTTCATCACTTAAAATTACTTTTTTCCAAAAATTTGGTGGCAGTTTGTAATACTTTTTTGCAAACTCCAATCGTGCCTTTAAATTTTTCTTGCTTCTGAACGATTTTTTAATCTTGTAGTGGCTGGAATACCTTCTTCGCGAATTCTTCGTTGAATTGTTCGCTCGGAAACATCTATTTGAAGGCTCTGTTTAATAAATTGGGCTGATATAGTCAGATCTTTTTTCACTTCTCTCACTATTTTTGTCTCTTCGCGCACTGAAGTTACTCTATGGCGACCTGATCTTAGAGCACTCTCTAGCCCACCATTTTTTTGTGATTTTTTATCACTTTTTGGATTGTGACCTTGCTTTTAGAATATTTGTTTGAAATTTTTCCGTATCCCATTCCATCTAAATGATCATGAACAATCAATTTTCGCAGGTCAACGCTTAGTTCTGCAGATCTTGGCATTTCACTAAATAGAATCTTTATATTATTTACCCAAACATTTTTATCGAGTATAAAATCACGAAATTTTACCTTTGTCGAGTTTATTTCTAAATATTTGCAAAAACTATTTACGCAAAGAAGCACTACGCACAAATATTGCCACGGTATACATAATTTTGTCGCCTGMAAAGTTCAACTGATCATCAACAAGTGCACATTCTGCAAGCAAAATAAAAGCTAACGGTAAATATCATACAGTGTGCACTTACCGTATGTACAAATTTTTAATTGTTGAACTTTTGAAAAAAATATTCCATGAACAATATAAAATGTGCTGGCGTATACATAGTTTTGTCGGATACTGTATATGAAATGTTTGTAAACTCTCTTTCAAGGGAGCAAGAACTTCTACTCACAACACCGCGTTCACGCTGAAAAAAACACAATCTCATAATCGAATGCACAGAGAGTCATATCCAACAGCAAAAATTTCATTACTTTCCATAAATTATACACACTTCTCCTCATATTGCCGCCAGTAAGTTTCCGCGGCGTATTCATCCATCCCTATCTCTATCTCGCTCTCTCTAACTCTCTGTCACTCGAACATTAAACTTTCAAAGCATTCTCATCGATCTCATATGTCATACGCCGCTCTCGCGGTGCATTCTACAAAACTCTGCTCATCGCCATTCAACGTTAGCCAACCCAAATTGTCCCTTTTTAGCAACAAGCACACATATGAACTCATTATATAAGAGTAATGCTAATGTAATAAAATTTATTTTTTCCAAATTCTACCTTGATTGGCTTTTAAGTTGGACGAATTCCGTCTTGAAATACAAAGAAGGGATCAAGAAATATTGGCGATGGCGGCCAAAATGAAAACTTTGGAAGAGCAACATCAGGTAAAGGATCGGTTTAATTTTACTCTTCCACATGTAAGGCTGTGTTCACATAAGCACCGCCTAAGCTTAATCTTTTGGTGAAGGATGCTTGGTACGAATTTAAAAAATTAAAAAACTAAATTTTGTATGACAAAAACTTTTAGATTAAGTCATTTGCATTAATCAAATATGAAATTTTTTAACATAAATACCACGAGGAATACCAGAAGAAATTATTTCAACTCTCTGGGAATACTAAATGTGGTGAGTTTCAGGATTGTCAATATTTTAGCGATTAAGCAAATAAATACAAAACATTTGAAAAACTTATAGATTTCATTAAAGCATATTTCGATATAATATCGTACAGTAGATGTATAGATATAGCGTAAATAGTCGTAATAACTCAGTACAACAGCTAATCTGGGGGGTGAGAAATTCCAAGTCAGGGGGATGGTACTAGGTCAGTATAGTAAAACCCTCAAAGGGTTTGACGTTCGTATGTGTCAGTTTTTTTTTGTAACCTCTTAAATTTTTTCCTTATTTCGCATGGTTTTCCATCTTAACAAATTAATTTTTTCCAATCAGGCGTACTAAATGGTCCAGATATACGAAAGCTGATTAAAAGTGACGCATTCAACAATATTTTGAATGCGTCACTCGACGCTGAATTGAATGCATGGCAGGCAATCAAAGAAGTAATAGAAGGCTTGTTGGGAAAGCATCGTTCTAACAACTACGATGGTTCTGTCGCAAGGATGTTACGAGCATTCTCGGAAATTGATTTTTTTTTTTTGGTTTTTTTGCCTTTGCCAAAATGTTACAACCAAGCGAAAAAACCATCAAGATAAATGAAAAATTTACAAGGTCATAGAAAAAACTGACACATACGAACGCCAAACCCTTTGAGGGTTTTACTATGCTGACCTAGTACCATCACCCTGACTTGGAATTTCTCACCCCCCAGACCATAATCCCAAAAATGTTCCGCAGTGTAATCGGTCGCGTTTTGGCTTTGCTGAGATTTGCTCACTATAGCCTTGAATTCCAGTAAAAATAAGTTAAATGCTACAAAATTATAAAACTTGTAAAATTAAAAAAATTATAAATTTTTTGGTTTTTTAATCAAAGCAAACCATGATCATCACTTAAGGTTTAAGCGTTGTGAACATAACCTAAAATTTTTCATATCCTTAATATCATAGATTTGAAAAAATCATGCTTATAAAATTTGTAGGACTATCAGCGGCACATAGCGGTTCTGAAGGAGTCGCTATGTGCCAAGGAGGAGCACTACAATATGCTGCAGACTGATGTTGAAGAGTTGCGCGCCCGCCTAGAAGAGAAAAATCGCTTGATCGAGAAGAAGACACAAGGCACGCTACAAACGGTGCAGGAACGGAATCGTCTGACTAGTGAACTCACCGAATTGAAGGATCACATGGAGATTAAGGATCGCAAAATCAACGTGTTACAGCGAAAGGTGCACTATAATACAGAAACATATACCACACCACCACCACGCTCTACAGCCACATCACTACTCACCTCAACTCAAACATACACTGAGCTCTAAGCCACTTACATGATACATAGTTTGCTAAACTACTCTACTCAACTATTACTGTTAAACAAACAAAATCTGCAAAATAAACTAATGAAAAATAACTCTTTTCTTTACTTTTATTTCCCATTGGTTTTCCCCACTTGCGTTGGTTTGATTTGTTCTCTCGTTTTGTTTTTGTTTTTTTTTTCGTTTTGTACCCAACTATGCGTCGCCAACAGATTGAGAATCTCGAGGATCTACTCAAGGAAAAGGATAATCAGGTGGATATGGCGCGGGCACGTCTGTCGGCAATGCAGGCTCATCACAGTAGCTCCGAGGGCGCTCTCACAAGTCTCGAAGAAGCCATTGGTGACAAAGAGAAACAAATGGCCCAACTGCGAGAACAGCGAGATCGTGCCGAACATGAAAAGCAAGAGGAGCGCGAATTACATGAGCGTGAAATTGCCGATTACAAAATCAAGTTGCGCGCACTCGAGAGCGAAGTAGAGAAATTGAATACACGCCTGGAGCGTGCAGTCACCGAACGTGAGCGTTTGGAAATCAAATTGGAGGCGTCACAAAGTGAATTGGGCAAATCGAAGGCGGAGTTGGAGAAGGCCACCTGCGAGATGGGACGCAGCAACGCCGACTGGGAGTCCACCAAACAGCGCATCGCCCGTCTCGAATTGGAAAACGAACGCTTGAAACACGATCTGGAACGTTCACAGGTACTGGCATGTATTTAAGTAGACACTCAAGCCGTTAACAACAATCGGTTAGGGGCTCTTTCTTGCTCTTGATTTCTCAAAACGTAAAATTAACTATAGTTTTATGTATATGCCATATAAATACTTATGCGTTCGATGTTCTATACCCCAAAGAAATACTAGCCTAATTACATTAATGCATACTCAATCTATTACCGAATCGAATGATATCAACTACTTACTAAAACTATAGTAATTACTTAGGTGTTAAACTATTATAAAGATATGAAACCAATACTACCTGCATATATTATATATTATATATACCTCTAATAATACTCAATTTACTTACTTATATACTATATACATGTGTGTTTTTGAAGCAATAACGTTTTTTACTGTGCTATTATTATTATTATTTACATGTACACATTTACTCCACTCAACCACCTATGTACCTATGTATCTACAACTATGTTCTACTACTATTACCACCTACTACTATAACTACCACCATAATAGCTGCAGCTAGAAGAACAGACCACACTACATAAAGTAAGATTTTTTCTATGAAATCCCTAAGAATTCATCATTTTTAATTAAGTTTAGCTCACGAATAGCATTAAAGTTTAAGTAAACCGTTCAAACGATCACGCTACCGATCATAACAGACTTCGTAACTGCTCACCTGCAACTGCGAGTGAAACCGGGTGTCGCCGAATGTTCGAACAGTTAGTCGTGTGTGACTACACTTTCACTCGTTGCTTTGCGCTTACAGTTCATGCGTTGAAATCGCATAAGAGTGAATGAGAGTAAATCGCGGCGAGTACTTACATATGTGAGCGATGTGAGCAATTACGAACTGGCTATGGTATGTCATGCTTAATTGCACTGTATATAGAGAATTAGTAGTTGCTAAAAGTATTTACAAATATTCCTGTTGTTTTGATGAATAAAAGTTCACAATTTTTTTCGTGTACTAACAAATAGGGCAGGACTCTAATTTTACGAAAACTTAAGAACTATTTAACCTTTGCCGAAATTTATATGCAATTAATTGATATTTATACATACATACTCGTATATACGCCGTATTGCACCTCAAACACATGTACTCGTAAAAGAACATTTTCATACAGATTCGTTGCATCAGACAGTTATATATAATATATATTGGACAGAATGCTAAAACCAACACTTACACACTCATACACAAATACACAAATACACTAAAGACACATTTGTTCATAACTTTCACAAAACACAGACGCGAGTTAACAGAAATTTTTGTTTGCAAGAAAGAAACAAGATAAAATTTGACTTATAAGGGGTGATCCGTTTCGAGGCTCCCTTCTTTTTAAAAGAAAAAACACAGAATCTTCTAATTTAGTGGGGAATGATAATTACCATTCGAAATAACATTCTTTGGCATCTATTTTCTGAAGACTATTTCCTGTCGTCTCAGATGGTCCATCCGTTGAGCGATACCTCCACCGGCCCATAAACCACACCAAATACTTCTTTTTTTTGGATAAAATTGCCGCTCTTGAATCTCTTCAGGTTGCACTTCGTCCCAAATGTGGCAATTTTGCTTGGTTACAAACCCATTGAGTCAGGTACTCAACACTAAACCAAATTGGGCTCGAAATCGTCAGATTACCTTGGAACTTTTCCAGTACCCATAGAGCGGACCGATGTGGCTCGAAAAGGGCGAGAGGCTTCAGTTCTTACACAAGCTTTATTTTGTACGTTTTCAATTTAAATTCTTCACGTAAAATGCGCCAAATCGCTCCATACGTCCGATTTGTAAACGTTGTTCAGGCGACGATGAAATACCAAGAAATACTGCACAAATCTAACATGACAGCTACTGAAAAAAATTCCTCTACGTGGATCACCCTTTGTAACATATTTTTTGGAGCGTAATGCTAAGCTTGATATAGTGATGGATATGGATTCAAGAAAGTAATTAAAAGTGAGGTAGTCCTTTAACTTTCAAAGTACACTCTTTGGAGGACTAAGAGATTACAACAACATACATACATTTATGGATTCCACTTCCGGTGCTAACCTTATGGAATTATAACAAGCATTACTTACGATTTTCATGATGGGAACTGTCCTTCAAGATCAGGGTTCCAAATATTGCATTAAAAATAAATTTTTTTTTATTTCTAATCCTAACTACCGAATTAATTCGAGATTAAAAACTTGAAATTTATTTATTAATGTAAGTTTTTAAATTGAAAACTTCGCAACCCAGATCAAAATGTTTATTAGCTTACGCAAAGCGTAAAAATGGGTTCTGGAGAAACTCTAAACAAGATGATATCATTAAACAAGTTCCAAAGTTGTAAGTTCTCATTCAAAATATTTAGTAGTTTAGGCAGAAAGTGATGCTCCAGTGGAGGCAGCCTCCAGAGATATGTTAAAAAAATAACTGTAAGCTAAGCTCAAAACTAATGTTCAAAACATAAACAAAGCTTTAGATATCGGTTGTTGGAAAACTGTTTGGAACCATATCCCTTGTATGCATATAAATGCCTTTTTGTTAATATGAAGCTTTCGCAGATAGTTCATGGAAACAAGAATTACTTTCGGGCTACTGCCCGCATGCTCGAAAATATTGCAAAAATTCCAAAAAATAAATTTTTCAAATTTCCAAATTTTCCATCACAATTATTATGCTTATATATTGTATACTGCAATTATTTGCATTTACATTTAGCAGAGTATATACAAAAACAGCTAACAATCGCTAGTTATCCGAAGCCCTAAGCGCTCGAACTGCTCCCAATACCCCAGCACCTTAGTTTTGCTAAATTCCGAGTTTCGAATGCCACAACCAAAGGCCTCTCATGCGTACATTCATATATTGATTGTTAAAAGCACAGCTAAAGAAATAGTGTTTGCAAAGATTTACTTTTTAATTGTAATAATATTCAAATACTTTTCAGTCTGTACAAAAATTAATGCTCGAATCGGGACGCTTATCGGTAAGTCAAAGTCTCAATATATATTTTGCGCATATACATCATCTCGAAATCATACAGTTCGCACGCTTCATATGAAGATCCAACCGTAAGAGACCCGCTGCATTTGTACCATTCAAACCAAGCGTTTCATGCGCATATCTGTCTAAAGGGCTCTCAACTTGAGCATGCTATCAGGTTTATGTGGACGAGTTTAAGCAAAATTTAATGTAATTTCATTCCATACCTGATACATTAAAGGCCTTAACCGCTATACAGGACTCATATTGCAAGAAAACTCCTATGGATTTCTTGAATTATCTATCCTGTTCCAGGTCATTCCACTTGAAATTTTGTCTGAAAAAAGCTCGCCAAACTTACCTACTTAAGTCAGGTTAGGTTAGCTTAAGAGGTCGATCCTAACAGGGATCTCGTTCGGACAGTTTAGAACGCCGGTCCGTTGTGGTGCTTAAAACTCCTATGCAATAGATCATAAGGTTCTCATAAATAGACAAAGAGCTTTGAGCATATCACAAATTTTTGAAGATGGCTAAAGTCAGTTTCGGCTATGTCTCTTTCTTTGCCGAAAGTGTGACTACTGCTGAATGCTTATTAGACAATTTTAAGTAAGAACTCCTACTATTGCGGCAAGATGTACTTTTCTAAGGGTCTCTTCCATTATACGTTAGGCCAAGAGAATCTTGCGGCCGCGCAGAGACTGGTCGACATCCAACGCTTGCCAAGCGCACGCGAAATCTGTAGGCCCAGAGATAGCAATCGAAGATTTCACTCGTTCCCATTCTGGTGTGAGCGGGTAAGGGTGTCCTTCTAGTAGCGTAAAGCTAAGATTGGCGGAAAGCTCTTTACAGCAAACTTTTACTCCAGCCTTTCCAACTAGGTTCGAAACATCCCCATTCACATAGCATTCCTAGATTGAGAAAAAGTCACCACAAGTTGCCTCTGCAACGCAGTAATGCAGCTGAAGGAGGAGTGTCAGCGAATCATTGTTCGGACTCCTTTATATATCCATCTTCCCCCAGGCTTAGAGCGCACTTCGCAGTAATGCACCTGCCGGCTTAATTAATCGATGTATGACACTTCTTAAATCAGGGCTTACGTCCTTTCGTTAGGAAGATTAGCAATAAATAGCATAATTCCTTATAACCGCGATTGCGTGGTGAAATGTGGATACTCGATTGAATTAAACCAATGAGCTAAATATTTTGTGATAAATGGAAGAGTTTTCAACTACGTATTTTTAAACTTTATTTAAAATAAGATATTATTCCAAAATCGTATAACGGTAATGTTTAAAGTGAAGCTTACAGTACAGACGTCTACAGTATACGCTTGTAAATAATTATGTACATACACACACACACACACACACATACACACTCCTACGAACACATGGTATATACTTCATAAATGTTGTGTTGTAAATGCATTGTTGTCAACCACACAGATTCTCTGCTGTACAAAATGTTGCACGCATCCTATTCCTTAATGGACCATTGCATATATATATATATATATATATTACATTTAAATAGAAATAAATTTACTCAAATTATACTAATGTTATTATCTTCGTTCCTGCGCGTAGACAACATTTGGCCGCACAACAATGACGACTTCGCAAGAACTGGACCGGGCACAAGAGCGCGCCGACAAGGCGGCCGCGGAACTGAGGCGAACACAGGCCGAGCTCCGCGTCACACAGGTACGAAAACCTTTATATACAACTCACTGTACAACAATATACATATATAATTTAACGGAATTGAAGCAATTGCATTCTTTCGAAGTAATTTCCATTACACACATATATATACATACGTACTTATATGCGTATATGTAGCAGTATATAAATATATAACTAACTGTAACACCATATACATACATACATATATTAATCACATTAACACATACAAACATTAGACTTCATCGAAATGGATCATTCAAAAGAGTTTTACTTGAAAGTGGTGTTAATATTTGATTTGACTTGATTCGATTTGATTTGGTTTGATTGTATTTAATATGGAAAATGATTGCATATGATAAGCAAAACGCTTTGTGATTTTCAGTTATTAGTTATTTCTATATATAAGTATTTATATATATAATACAATGTACAAATAATTTCGCACTTAACTGTAATTAAAATCAATTATCTCTACCAACAACAAAAATAACTAATCGTATACATTACGTACACAAACAAATCCGACATTAAAATGTTTACTCACACTGTACACTCTTGCTAGTGTGTTCCATGTTGCAGATATCAGAAGACAACATTCAAAAGCTTCACTGCATACTCACCTATGTATGGCGTTGTAATCGGATTCATGCACAGCAAAAACATATAACATTGTTATCGACAGAGTTCGAAAGTGAATGGAGAGTAATTAAATACATGCACACTCAATCAAGTACACACCACAATCAAATAAATCACCGCCGGATGTACAGCTTATGTCAAAAATCATAATTCTGAATGGACATAAAGCAGAAAAGTCTCTTGTGGTTTTACGGAAGTTCTTTAAATGTTTACACAAAATGCTCATAACTCTCAACTTTTTATTCGAAACGACAGTTTCAATAAGTTTTGTTTTTGTGCTTTTCCTCCAAGAAACTGCTCATCTGTCGGAATAGCTGAAATTGGAGCACTACAGCATACCTGGTAACCTGCCTTGCAAACTAATCGATCGAAATCTAATCCTACATGGGATATTTTATTTGTGGAGGGTATTATAGCTTGAAGTAAACATTTTTCTTGTTTAGTCACACGTTCTTCATATCACGCTAATATACACCCTAAAGTATAATAAATACTCTCATTCAATGATTTGTGGCACAAAAATATTTTTTAATGATTGACTTTTTTTAGTTCTAAGACCAAGAGGAGAACCATTTTGAAGGAGTCTGTTGTATGGAATAAAGTTTCTTTGTTTGTAGAATAGTAAAGCTGAAATAAAACAAGAAAAAACGTTAACTTCGGCTGCACCAAAAGTAATATACACTTCACAGGTGCATTTCTTTTCGTAACTATGTGTTCAGTTTGTATGGAAGCTATAAGCTTTTTTCAGAGATTATATTATTACCTTAAGCAGTAATCCATCTCAAATTTCGTGAAGATATATCGTCAAGTGAGGAAGTTTCCCATGCAAGCATTCGATTCCGATCATTCAGTTTGTGTAGCAGCTATATGCTATAGTTGAAATATTTCTCGGAGATTACATTGTTGCCTCAGAAAATAATCTATACCAAATTTCTTGAATATATCCTGTCAAATGCAAAAGTTTTTCATACCAGCACTAGATTCCGATCGTTCAGTTTGTATAGCAGCTATATGTCATAGTGGTCCGATATCGGCAGTTCCAACAAATGAGCAGATTCTTGAAGAGAAAATGAGGTCGCGAAATTTCAGGACGATATCTTAAAAACTAAGGGACTAGTTCGTATATGTATATACAGACAGACAGACAGACAGACATGGTTAAATCGACTCAGCTCAACATACTGATCATTTACATATATACTTTATAGGGTATCCGCCCCTAATTCTTGGTGTTACAAACTCCGTGGCAAACTTAATATACCCTGTTCAGGGTATAAAAAAGTGATTATAAGAGATTGGCGTACCCGGAAACCGTTAGTTTCGAGAAAACAAAAAATAAAGTCATTTACAGGCAAAGGATTATATGTCTTAGCTCTTGCAAAGGCTTGGATGATGAAAATCATCCTTAAACTTCCCAGAGAAATTTAAAGTAGGCTCGACCTGCTACTGAGGAGAGCATTACTCAATGGTACACTAACGGCTCGAAAACACAACAAACTATCCATCCCAATGCCGAAATCTTCGCTATCAGTCATTGTTCAGACTATTGCGCAACTATCGCAAACAGCGATGGTCAAGCGGCACTAAAAGTGATCGTAGCTTATGAGGTGAAATCGCTTTTAGTGGAGGAGTATATAGGAATGAACTGCTTATCAGTTTGCAACCGTGTACACCTGATCTAGTTCCCGGTACCAGCATCAGGCAACTGGAATTATCCACACTGCCTTCATAACCATAATTCGTCACAGAAGAGTATTAATACATCCTCACAATTTTAAATTAAAACTTCCTAACACCAAGTAAGCCAATTAAATGGCTTTTAAATAGTATTTGTTGCAGATTCATAGATTCATAAATAAGAAAGAATTTGGCTTTTTAAGGCGAATGAGATGATGAAACATTTTGTTTTGAGGGATTGTGTTGATATTGATAATTCGAAATTTTAAACTTCAACCAGAACACAGTTGGGTTGAGAAGTGTGGGAGTGGCCTAAGTCATATGGTTGGTCCAATCCAGATTAACTTAAGGAAAACTCCGATAATAGTTGGGGATCCACTTTTAATTTCACTCTTTACTGCAGGTAAAGCACTGAAGCGCGCTTAGCCAACAAAAACTACGCTGTAGACTCTGTTAACAAACGATCGGCTTGCATAATAGAAGTTATTGCCGATATGCATAAAGAAAAATGTGCGAAAATTTGACAAAAGCTGTTACCTCTGGAGAATTACTCCATCAAAAGACTATGATCGCGAGAAATCTCAACCAAAATCATTAGATTCATTCGCGCACACTCACACTCACACATACAGTTACACACTCTCATGAGCACAATTATATAATGCATAAAGTATTTAATAAATTTTAGAAAAAAATAAAGTATTATTATTTGTCTACTAATGCTCTAGTGCTAACTACTATTGCTATTGCTACTACTATTTACTACTCTTAACTACTAAATACTAATTATGTAAACTTAACTAATTCTCTCTAATGGTTATTTTCAAACAATTCAAATAACCGTGTTGCGCTTACGTTCATACTCGTACTCGTATCTACTCGTATATCGTATTATAGGGCGATACAGATAAACGTTTTGTGAGTAATTGCTTCCAAAATCGCAAACAACAAGTATCCAAAGTTTCAAAATCCTCGTTTTTGAGTATATCAATTTGCATTCTATACATACCATACATATATACATATAGTCTAAATACATGGCATACTCGTTATTAACATGCAACATACTTATAAATACAACCAACGTTCGTACATTCGTATAATTCGTATTCAATTCGTATTATAGACATGTCATAGTGTCGTTGAAACGTACCGAAATTCCTGAATACATACATACATCGTGCATTTGTACATCCATCCGATGTTCCATAAAATCTGTCTATATCACATTTACTAACCATTATTTTGTTCAAAACAATTTTCGAAAATACTTTATGAAGTTGTCTTTGCTTCCGTAAAAGCTTACGCTTAGCTTTTGCGTATATACTTACTTGATTAGTAATTTAAAATGCAAAAGTAATTAAATTTGCCTTAGACGCCTTTGTTATTTGAATTTTTGCTAAACCTCTTTGCTAATTTTATAACTGGAACAATCAATTTAAGCGAATCGAAACTACTACTACTACTACTAAGCCCTGTAAATACTAAATATACAACACATAGTCATCTGTATTTAAATCATCCAGCTTCAATAAGCTTAAAGGTTTTTAGAATGATGTTTTAATAATCGCGGATCATTATTCGGGTCATTCGACATCAATCATTCAAAATACAAGTTAAAAATTGCTTTTCGAATAATCAACACTACAACGCTTCTTCTTAACGTTATATTCACATGTATTAGATTTTGTCGGGTCAAAGTGACTAAGGTATGAGTTTATTATTAGGTAGATATACTATAGATCTCTTATAACAATCTATTAGAAATATGGAGCTCTAATCAACAAAAACTATTAAGAAAGCAAAAGTTTATACTCTTTTGAGAGATAATGAAGAGATCTGAGCCCTTCTGACTTCAAACAGCAAAGCAATAACTTAAGTCCATAGAGTGGGAGGTGTAGTATATTTTTATAACCAGAGCTGTGAAATTTCAATTCTATTGTATTATCCGGGAGGATTTAATGGAGCCGTTCGATATCAAACGACGTTTCAGACAAGGCGATCCTATCGTGTGACTTCTTCAATCTGCTGCTGGAGAAAATAATTCGAGCTGCAGAACTTAATAGAGAAGGTACCATCTTCTATAAGAGTGTACTGCTGCTGGCGTATGCCGATGATATTGCTACTTCGGACTGAGTAGACGACGTAAATTCTTATCTCGACGAACAAAAACCAAACTCCATAAGTCACGCATTATTCCCGTCTTGCTATGTGGTGCAGAGGCTTGGACGATGACAACCACTGATGCGTCGACGTTGCGAGTTTTCGAGAGAAAGGTTCTGCGAAAGATTTATGGTTCTTCGCGCGTTGGCCACGACGAATATCGCATTCGATGGAACGATGCGCTGTATGAGATATTAATATGACGACATTGACATAGTTCAGCGAGTGAAAAGACAGCGGCTAAGTCAAGTTGTCCGAATGGAGCTCTAGCTCTGAAAGTATTCGACGCAGTACCCCCCGGGAGAAGCAGAGGAAAACGGAACCTCCACTTCGTTGGAAGGCCAGGTGGAGAAGGGCATGGCTTCGCTTGGCATATCCAATTGGTGCCACGTAGCGAAAAGAAGAAACGACTGGCGCGTTGTTATTGACTCGGCTATAATCGCGTAAGCGGTGTCTATTCCAGTAGAGAAGAAGGTTAGATTTCCACAATTGTTGAACTCTCAAATACATTGAAATTCATCTACAGTTAAATGGTTCCCCTTTTTATACCCTGAACTGCTGTGACGTTTGTATACAGAAGGAAACTTCGGAGATCCTATAAAATATATGCATATGTATATATACCGAGTTTACCAATAGGATGACGATCAAGCAGGCTTACCCAGATGTTGTTTTAGCAAAAAGTGGGGTGTTTCGGTAGCGCCAGGGCTTTTTGGATTTCCAGGAAGAATGAGCAAATTCAAAGTGAAAACGATGTTCATTGTCTTTTTTGATATCAAAGGCATCATCCACCATGAATTTGTTGCTCCTGGACAAACCGTCGACGCCAAATTTTTCGTGGAAGTCCTCAAGAGTCTCAAATGAAGGGTAATTAGCCCCGATCTTTTTTTGTTACCTTTCTGAAAAGGCCGATAAAAGAGGATCCAAACAGCATGCACCTGGGCTATTCCGTAGGATTCCTTCCATGACGCCTTCAATCCTTGGAAATCGCGCATTCGAAAATACATTTGCTTTACGTAATGAGACAAAGAACCGCTCGAGGTAATGAAAATAATGCTGCCGTTCAAACAAGTGTTGCTGAAGATCGCAATTTGTCGATTCCAAGACGTTCTCAAGACCTGGTGCTGTCTCACATCACAACCTATTATTAGGTATTGCGTTAAAAAAAAAGACTTTCGATTCTGGTGCGAAGAAAATCCACAAATTATTAATAAACAAACATTACATGCACCTAAATTGACAGTTTGGTGTGGTTTTTGGTCTGGTGGAAACATCGGTCCGTACTACTTTCGAAATGAAACTGGTGACATCTTTCCTGTCCATGAAGAACGGTATAGATCGATGATAACCAAATTTTTGTGGAGAACTTCAGGTTCGATTATTTCAAGAAATGTGGCATTGAATGACCTTCAAAAATTTGTGACGTAACATAAGTACACCTTTTCTTGTGGGGTTATTTGAAGTCATTGGTCTTTAGCAAGAAAACAGGCATATTTCATGAAGTCAATATTGAACGTGCTATTCATGATATATGACTTGGTTTTGTGGAAAAAGTGATTTAGCCATGTTGCGAACAGTCCCTCAGTTTTTGAGATATCCATCTGAACTTTTCCACCTGACTTTTTCTCTTCATGAAGATGCTCATTTGTCAGAATCGCCTAGATCGAACAACTAAAGTGTATAGCTGTCATACACTATGAACGATCAGAATCAAGTTCTTATTTGGCAACTGTTTAGTTTGAAAGGTATTAAAGTTGCATTGAAACTGAAGTTAAAGTTTTTTCTTGTTGCTTTTATTAGTATCGTTTCTTATTTCCTTTTGCATTCATTCGTAATTACGCATATAAACTGAAGAAAAGGGCAATTGCTACATTAAATGCTTATGCGGTTACATTTTCATAGCTAGAAATGACCGACCTATAAAAGTAAAACCCAGTAAACTATTTTGGGCAAAAACTTTTGTATAAATATACAGTTATGGTATACATGTTAGCTGTAAGTATCATAAAAAATCGAGAGACGCTCTTAAATTGATTGTTCCAGTGCAAATAGAGCTTGCTAAGTATACGTATTGAAAGAATGTGTAAATCGAAACGCAAAAATGGATCATGTTTATTTAGCTTGGATAATTTTTTGTGAGTATTGTGTTTATTTGAAGCAAATCGATGTCATCGCTCTCTCGCTAAAGCATACATATTATATTGAAAGAAATTATTGTGTTTTTATTTCGCTCGCAGCTGTAATCGTGCCATATCTCCTCTCAAACATAAATTGAATTCATAAAACGCACGCAAGCGCACCTCTGTATATATTGCATAGAGTCTAACAAATGCCAAAAGTCACTCGTTTCTTTGTCATTGCATTGCTCGTGTCCGTTTCGTTTCGCCTCGTCACCAAATGCATTTGTTGTGACGCTTTAAACGTTCTGTGTTTCCATTTGCGTACATAACAGTTTATCAAAAATGATGGAGAACGAGACTGCGACACGACACGTCATAAATAAAACAAACTGTTGTACTATCACGATTCTTCTCTTACATTCGTTGACTTCACGAACTAAATAATTTTGTGCTCAAACAAACTTCAAATAAAGTAACAGAACGAAAATGTCGCACTCTCCATTTCTATCACTTCTGACTACTAACTATAAGTCACCCATACAATATATAATGTTTATCTCATAGTTGAACATTTTGACATTATCACACCTATCTCTCTTATTCGTTTTTCTTATTTTTTAACATTTTAGTAAGATCGAAGTAACTTCTAGTAGTTTGTTCGAAAAATCCTCTTGTGCAATTGTCATGTCAAAAAAAAAAATAGTATAGTGTCTATGAAAGATAATAACAATTAATTCAGTTTTTTGTTTTCCTCTCCCCTTCTACGCGTTTCAGTCGGATGCGGAGCGTGCTCGTGAAGAGGCGACTGCGTTGCAGGAGAAGCTCGAGAAGAGTCAGGGTGAAGTATATCGCCTTAAAGCGAAGCTCGAGAATGCACAAGGTGAACAAGAAAGCTTGCGCCAGGAGCTGGAGAAAGTGCAAGGAGGGGTGTCACGTATACATGCTGATCGGGATCGGGTAAGTATTCATCTATATTGTTTTAAATTCATTCGTAAATTTTTTCCATATTATAACTTAAGATTAATTAAACAAAAGTTGGTACGGATCAAGAGAAAGGTCGTCGAAATTCTTTCTATTAACTTATTTCATATGAAGAGAAAATGTTCACTTTAACATTATTATAAGTGGTTAAATTCATCAATCAATTCCACACTTAAATTAAATAGAACTCAAAAATTACTTACTTAAGGACTCTTCAGAAATGGAAAAGAAAATTCGATATAAGGATCTATTAAATTAATGATTTGACCGCTTCTGTATAGTGCAATTTATTTCAACTCGAACTTCTTCTTCATCTTTACTGGATTAGACTTTACAATAGCACGCCCGTCTTTTCATCTTTCCGGAGTGAGGTTCTTTCTTTTCATTTGCTTCCAGCGGCTGGTACTGAATCGAATACTTTCAAAGCTGAAATGTTCTTATCCATCCCGGAAACATGACTTAGTCAGCTTAGCTGCTGTCTCTTCATTCGCTGAACTATGTCAATGATGGCGGATATCTCGTTCTATCGACTGCGATATTTGTCATTGCCAACAGATGTACTATACATAGTCCCATAAATTTTGCACATAACATTTTTCATGAGTCTGCACCATATCGCATTTCTGGAATGATGAGGGACTTCTAGAGTTTGTTTGTTGTTCGCCGAGAGAGGAATTTAATTTTCGATGGCCTATTTCCAAGGTAGCACCTGGTGCCAAGAGTTGTTGACAGTGTTAATACTGATAAAGTTGATAGTCGTATGAGCGAAAACGGGTATGCGATGACTGCTTGTACTCGTTCACTACCAGACTCGCTTTACTTTCTTATTCAATCTGAAAAGGCAGAACAACTGTACACCCTTATAAACTATTATATTGTATATATTGAAGAAGTATCAGTGGTTCACCCTTTTGGATTTTACTCCGCTTCTGAAACCTTACGTTAGTCGCCGAATACTTTCTTGGAGTTTTGAGGTATTAATACTGCTGAAGCTCTTTTTACTTCCGCATTTCGCCCTCTTTCTTTTTTTGGCTCACATGATGCATCCGATCCATCACATGATAGATCCGATAGACAACCGTAATTCTAGCTCCGGCAAACTCGATAAACCTCAACCCAATTGACGATGTTTCGCCATGGTGGTAGAATTAACCAACTGTTTTGCCGAAGATACTTTCTTTTCCCACCCTATCGTTAAAGTCGTCAAGCACAATTTTCACATTGCGGCGGAGATACTACCACGCTAGGCAACTATTATGAAATTGTGTATACATACACTTATATAGCGAGCCGCGAGCCCCGTGCACCGTGCACCGTGCCGGAAGACTGATACCCTCTAGCAGCCACAGATCTGGTAAAGAGACTGCACTCCTATGACTTTCGAATTGAACAAGAAACTGTGAATGAGATGTTCCTAGTAAGCACTTCTGTCACATAAGGACCGACCATTTTCCCAAGTAGCCGTTGTTAAAAGTGAAATAATGTGCTTATTTCAAGTTAGACCCTTACAAATATAGAGTACTAGTCACCTTCGTAAGATTCGGATGTAGTTTTAAATGTAATAAGCATTTTTAAATTAAGTTTTATCCATTATACAATTAAAATGAAATGTATTATTAATTAACACCCTTTCAGGCCTTCTCTGAAGTGGAGAAGATGAAGGAAGAGATGGAGCGAACCCAAGCCACACTGGGCAAGGCACAACTGCAGCAAGAAAAACTGCAGAACTCATTGGATAAAGCCCAGAACGAAGTCGACCACTTGCAGGAGAAACTCGACAAATCGGTGGCTGAAAACCGACGCTTGGTACTCGAGAAGGAAAAGCTCACCTACGACTATGACAACCTACAGTCGCAGCTAGACAAGGCGCTGGGACAGGCGGCGCGCATGCAAAAGGAACGCGAAACGCTCACGCTCGACACGGACCGCATACGCGAAAAATTAGAGAAGACGCAGGTATGCATTACAAGCCAACACACTTACACACACAAACACATTTGCATAGTCGTTGTATCTGCATAACCACTGCCGACGCGTGCTCTTAGGCAATACTATTGAAACTCTAATACTAATATAGCCACTATGTATATACCAGTATATGTGTAGTATGTCTGTATGTACTTACTAATATACTACAACTATAGCTTCCCTCTTATAAGAACTACAACTGCTACCTTTACAACCACAACCTATGCTATGTATATGTATGTGTATGGCGTAACCTTAATGTTGTTAATGTATATATACCTACTATATATATATATGTACAAGCATACAAGTATATGAATATTTTATAAAAAAAAACACTAAACTAGATGCAACTAGCACGCATACAAAAAGAACGGGATCAGTTCTCAGATGAGTTGGAAACACTCAAAGAACGCTCCGAGACATCGCAAACTTTACTGATGAAAGCGGCCCGCGATAAGGAGGCGATGCAAACCGATTTGGAAGTGCTCAAGGAGCGTTATGAAAAGTCACATACCATACAACAAAAATTGCAGGTAATGCCATACGGCAACAAACGCACACAATTACACATGCATATATACATTCACAACTGCATTGCACTTCACTACATACGGGTAGCTGGCGTCTTCTCCGTACTCCGTACTCCCTGCTCTAAGTGCTAAAATATTGTGCGAATGCTCAACCTATGAGAAGGATTACATAACTCGTCATTGTTAGTCTTTGCGGCAACCAAAATACAAAAATAGACCCGTTTGCACATAACTGAAGCGCACCCGGATTTTTGTCCGAGCAAGAACTGTCAACGATCTCGACAGTTAAAATACCGTTATAACTTCAAAAGATCTAATGCAGCACAGTGTTTCGAGTTTATTTAGTCAAATCTTCCTCGATAACTCATGTCCTCTACTGACAGGTTTCAATATAGATTAAAATAAAAGTCTGCACATAGCTTTTAAAATGTCTCTGTTGTCACACGTCTCAACCACCACACGATTACTGTTAGCACAATATAATTCGGATCTCGTGTATGAAATATTTTAAACGAAACAAAATCTCTGTTGGTGAAAACATTGCTCAAGTAAGTGCCTTCTCTTCGACACGAGAAAAGCACGAGTTAAATGTCGAAGAAGTACAAAAGTAAGTGAAACAGGTTATTTATCGATTTGGGATGAATACTTGTGCTCCGTAGGCCTGAGGTGTTTCATTTGTTCGATTTAAAAATAGTCTTTAAAGGGTTGTAATCAGAAACGCTCTCAGCTCCCTACTTACTACATATGCATACATACATACCATGAAACAGCGCATTGTACGAATTGGCTTCAAAATTTTAATTTATTATTTTTCATTTCGGTTCGCATGCATTGAGATTTCCAATTGGCTGTTTGTAAATTGTGTTCTAACATTAGACAACCGTTAATAGTAAACATTTATGCACCATATACATCATATACTCGAAAAGTACTCTAGTAGAATGGAAACGGCGGTAATTTTTGGTTTGCGCTAATGATTTTCTTTGCAGATGGAGCGTGACGACGCTGTTACCGAAGTGGAGATACTTAAAGAGAAACTGGACAAGGCACTTTATGCTAGTCAGAAACTCATCGATGAGAAAGACACCTCCAATAAAGAATTCGAGAAGATGCTTGAGAAGTACGATCGTGCACAGAATGAAATTTATCGACTGCAGTCGCGTTGTGATACTGCCGAAGCTGATCGCGCACGTTTGGAAGTCGAAGCAGAGCGTTCCTCTTTAGCCGCGTCGAAGGCGCGGGAAGATTTGCGCAAATTACAAGAGGAGAGCACTCGCTTACAGGAAGCCTGCGATCGAGCCGCGCTGCAACTGAGCAGAGCCAAGGAGAGCGAAGACAATGCGCGTGTTGAGCTCGAGCACAATCGAGAACGTTTCGATAAAATACAAACCGATTTGCGACGATCGCAAGGTGAAAAAGAGCATTTGCAGTCGGAGTTGGAGCGTGTCACATATGAACTGGAGCGCGCACACGCTGCACAAACCAAAGCCAGCGCCAGCGTGGAAGCGGCTAAAGAGGAGGCTGCGCACTATGCCGTTGAATTGGAGAAAATGCGCGATCGTTACGAGAAGAGCCAAGTGGAGTTACGTAAACTCCAGGATACTGATACATTTGGACGCGAGACTCGTCGCCTTAAGGAAGAAAATGAGCGTCTCCGTGAAAAATTGGACAAAACCCTTATGGAACTCGAAACGATTCGTGGCAAGTCACAATATGAATCCGAATCGTTTGAAAAATACAAAGACAAGTATGAAAAGATTGAGAATGAAATACAAAATATGGAATCGAAACTGCATGAGACCACCCTGCAACTGGAATTGTCCAAGGGCGAGGTTGCTAAGCTACTTGCCAATCAAGAGAAACAACGTAGCGAATTGGAGCGGGCGCATATTGAGCGCGAGAAGGCACGTGACAAGCACGAGAAACTGCTGAAGGAGGTGGAGCGATTGCGTCTGCAGCAACAGTCGGCCATCAGCCCTGGCGAGTCGGTGCGCGCATCGATGTCGGCGGGCGAGCGCCAAGAAATCGATCGATTACGCGATCGCCTCGAGAAGGCGCTACAGTCGCGCGATGCCACCGAACTCGAAGCGGGCCGCCTCGCCAAGGAGTTGGAGAAAGCGCAGATGCATTTAGCCAAACAGCAGGAAGCGAACGAATCGACGCGCATCGAATTCGAACGCATGTCTGCCGAACTCGGCCGCCTGCACGATCGACTCGAGAAGGCAGAGGCCGAGAAGGAGTCACTACGCCAATCGGCACGCAATGGCGCAGACAAACCGCATCCACAACTCGAAAAGCACATGCAGAAATTGGAAGCCGATTGCAAGCAATTGGCCATCGAACGCGAGCAATTGGTGCTGCAACTCGAAAAGAGCCAGGAGATATTGATGAATTTCCAAAAGGAGTTGCAAAATGCCGAGACCGAATTGCAAAAGGCGCGTGAAGAGAACCGCAAATTACGCAACGGTCACCCGGCATCACCCGCGGCACCTGCTGAACTGCAAGCTATGCAACAAGAAATCCAGATGCTGCAACAGAAGTTACAAGAGACCGAAAAAGCCCTACAGGCCGCCAGTGCCGTAGCGGGAGCGAGTGGCGCCAATCGCGAAGAGGTCGAACAGTGGCGCAAGGTGCTTGAAGTTGAGAAGAGTCGCGCCGAAATGGCCGACAAAGCCGCACAAGAAATGCATAAACGCATACAAGTAAACTAAAGCTCTGATCGCTTACATTCCTCCATTTTATAGGCTTGTTACTAATTAATCTACTTTTCAGTTGATGGATCAGCACATTAAGGAGCAACATCAACAAATGCAAAAGATGCAGCAACAGATAGCACAACAGCAACAACAACAACAGCAGCAGCAACAGCAAGTGTCCGGTAATGCTCAAGAAGTCACGAAAGAGATGGAGAAAGTGAAAGGAGAACTGCAGGCCGCCTGTACAGAGCGTGACCGTTTCCAACAGCAGCTGGAGTTGCTGGTACAAGAACTTGAAAAAAGCCAGGTGAATAAACCAGCAGTATCTGAAGCTCTCTCCTAATCCATAAACTTTTAGCTTTCCAACCAGGAGCAGTCGAAGCAATTGCAGACCTCCCAACAGCAAGTGCAACAACTGCAGCAACAGGTGCAGATGTTGCAGCAGCAAGTACAACAACTGCAGCAAGCGGGCACTTCCGGCGCAGCCGCCACCGATGTGCAGCGCCAACAATTGGAGCAACAACATAAGCAATTGGAAGAGGTGCGCAAACAGATCGACAACCAAGCCAAGGCCACGGAAAGCGAGCGCAAGATCATCGAGGAGCAGCGCAAGCAGATCGAAGCCAAACGCAAGGATATCGAGGAGAAAGAGAAGAAAATGGCCGATTTCGACGTGCAGTTGCGCAAACGAAAGGAGCAAATGGACCAGTTGGAGAAATCTCTGCAGACGCAGGGTGGCGGTGCGGCGGCAGCCGGAGAGCTTAACAAGAAGCTCATGGACACACAGCGACAGCTTGAAGGGTAGGTTTCCAAACATCATCAAAACAACTGTATATTACATCACTTTCTTTTACCGCACAGCTGCGTTAAGGAACTGCAAAACACCAAGGAGGAGCACAAAAAGGCAACCACCGAATGCGAACGGTTACTGCAACTGGTGCAAATGTCGCAAGAGGAACAGAACGCCAAGGAGAAAACTATTATGGACTTACAACAGTATGTAACAAGTGGAATAATGCTCATTACTCACTTTTTCACTGAAATCTTTTTCCTTTCGTTTCCTTTCTTACAGAGCCTTAAAGATCGCTCAAGCAAAAGTGAAACAAGCACAAACGCAGCAGCAGCAAGATGTAAGTTTATATACTGCCATACTCACAAAATACCAAAATATTTTTACATATTATATTATGTAGCTTAAAGACCAGTTTAAGTACTCTTGCCTAAAGCGACATCGAAAACACCGCTCCCATACTACAAAGAGTGTTCCAAAGTAAACAGGACTTTAAAAAAATCAATTTATTTTATTCAAAATAGTCTCCTTCTGTTTTAATACAGCTTTTTGCACGGTCCAAAAGCATATCGAACGAGAGTTTTAGCTCGTTGGCCGATGCAAGCYTTTTGAATGGCCTCTACGTCTGCATAACGCTTTCCTTTCAAGGGCAAATGCATTTTTCCGAAAAGAAAGAAATCGCACGGTGTCATAACAATTGAATGCGGGGTGTGGTTAATGGTTAAAATGTGATTTTTGGTCAAATACGGTCACAAACGTCGATCGGTGAGAGCAATTTTTGGTCGTTAGTCAATTTTTGCGGAACAAACAATCAATTAATTTTTTAGAGATGTTTTCACGCGCAGTTTCGAAGGAATTTCCGGTGATCACGGATTTTGATTAGTCCACACGACGATCGTCATTTAAGTCCTCACGACCACTAGTCCACTCTGCTACGGGATAGACAATCATCGCCATAAACTTGTTTCATCAATTGAAACGTTTCCGTGAAAGTTTTACCAATTTTAAAACAAAATATAATCGAAGCTCATTTTCGCACCGATAACACAAACATACTGACACTTAAAACGCAATAACTTCACTTCCAATCGATGAGACGTCATGAAATTCTCACTGGACTATGGACTGGTTAACGATAGCAGATTCTAACGAACCAGTCGACATATAGATGGCACCACCAGAAGCCGCTAGATTCAAAAAGTTCCTGTTTGGTTTGGAACGATCCTTGTACGTACGAAGAAAATTTTAATTTTTCGATATTGCGAACGACGCTGCATTTTGACCCTGAACTTAGCACTCGTTGCAAAAACAAAGTTTTGTTAAACCAACGGTAGTCCAACTTTTGTATAACATCGGCAGAAACTAAATTAAGCTTTCTCAAGTTTCCACTGACTTTCGGCTAAACATATTTCAGGCAATTGAATATACTTTTTTAGTTAGTTGCATTTCGTTTGTTTTAGAAGGTACAATTTCAAATAGAAAAGAGCTTTCTGGAGTTCTAAAATCGTCGGTTTGTACCACAAAAAAGTTATATTTGAAATTGAGGAATAATAATAATTTGATGAATATTTGAATGGAGCCCTTCACAAATGGTTTCGGTTGGTAGAAGATACGTTAAGTTTTTCGAGGAAAAATTTTTTGACTGAATGAATAAATTAAAAAATTATCCAAGAAAGCTGTCATCTAATAAAGTTAGTGTGGAGCCATTCATAAACAAATTTTAGAACTTTCGAAAAAATAATAATAATATTTATTAAATATTGGAAAAAATCTAGGGTTCTGAAAAGAAGAGTTCTTTCGGAAGAACACTAAAGAAATGTTCACATTTTTAGCGCCAATGCTTCGGGACATAAGAATTTACGACTTTAAGCAACTGAATAACCTCAGAACCCGAGATCGTTCGATGCTACCGATAATCTATACTTTTTTAATAACAGATTTGCAAGAAAGTGCAATCAAAAAACTTAGAAAGGTTTCCAATTGTCTTATTTGTCATTCGATTTAAAGAATTTTTTGATTTTACTAATGAGGTATACAACATAAGATTTCAAATTTTTTGATTTGGGAAAAGTAAATGCTTGATTGGTTCTAGAATGACACAATTTTTTCTAAAACCTACGTCTTGTTAATGTCTGTGAAACAATTCCTTCCGCCTACTAAGATGTCATAAAACGTATTATTACTGGCGATAAGTTTTGGATCTGAAACCCATGTCAATGTAGGTCAAAAATCGGAATTTTCTACGATTAGTGAGGTGTGGTGTACTCCGAATTCCTTCTTACCGGTAAAGATATTTGTAAAAAGAGGTTGGAATTATGACCGACTGGGTTTTGAACCACAATAATGCACCGTCGCATACTGCGTTGATTCTTTGTGAGTTTTCGCTAAATATTGTGCGGCAACCACCGTATTCGACTGATTTAGCTCCTTGTGACTTTTGGCTATTCAGCAGACGGCAGCTCCGGGGAAAACGTTTCGAGTCAATTGAAGACATTACGCGCATTGAGGTTCCTCTGGAAATTGACCTTCACAACTGTTTCGAGGAGTGAAAAAAAACGTTGGCACAAGTGTATTGGGGCCAAGAGGAATTACTTTGAGAGAGATTTTGAAGAATAAATTAAGAATTTTCATATCATGAATAAAGACTTACTATTTTTTCCCCATAGTATTACGAGATGTTCGGTAAAAATATTACCATAATGTGAAAATATTCTAGACCTGCACAGAACTCTTATAAATTTTCTAACTTATGATATTTAATATATATTTATTTGAATGTGTATAAAGCTTACTAACAAAATATTTCCTAAATTCATGTTCAACATTTTTCATTTTCAGGCTGGACCAGCTGGATTCTTGAAGAGCTTTTTCTAAAGAGTATTACTTGAAAAAGTGAAAACAAACAAACATATACGAGAAGCAACAAAACTTTTCATTATTACACTGTACATTTAACTACCAGTAACCTCAGTATTGATTTCATTATAATAATGAGCAATGGAAAAGAAGTATTCGAAATCTTTTTTACTCAACTTTTTGCTGAACGCTGTCTTTTTCTAATTATTGTTTTCTTGTGACAAAACCAAAAATATATACGCAGATTAATGTTAAATATTCTGAACTAAGTACTACTGTATTCATTACTCTTCATACTAACCACAATCGGCTGCTTATTCACAACCTACACGACAAGTAGGCAGACATAACCGACACACAAATCCACACATACATACCGAAAGGAGCAAACACTCGACCAAAGAGCGTCGTAAGTCAACAGTAAACAGTTGGAGAGTCCAGTCCAGCTACAGAAGCTTTGTGGAGGGCGCTGAGTGTAAAACTACTGGAGTAGTATGTGTGTAACGGTAGATGGTAAGATACATAAGTATGTGAGCGAATATTGCAAGGCAAGCGAAGACGGAAATTTACAAATTTGAAAGCAAAACAAACGTAATAAAATAATTAGTTCCAGACGAACTCGTTGATTCGGCGAGTGCGGAGAGAATTTTTTTGGTGAGCACACAAATGTAGCAGATTTATAGAGAATGGAAAATGCACGGCGTGCATGCATATGGAGGTGTGTTTCTAGCTTAAATACAAATCTCGGCGAAGGAGTATTGGAAAATATAAATGTAGCAAAATAGGCGTGACCGTTAGCAAATAAAAATATATATAAATTAGAAAAAATAAATAAAAAACTACAACAAATGAAATACAACTAAAAGCACTACATATATGCAGAGTTATAGTTAGTTTATCAAAGAGAAGTGAATAAACAATATAATGTTAAAATTAATTATGTAAATATTAGAACAAATTGTAGCAAAAAACAAAAACAACAAACAAAAACTTTTATTTTAAATAACCTAATGAAATATACAAATATAAAAAATTTACAAAGACATAAATTGAAACAATACCACAGTGTATTAGTGGACCAAGGGTCGTGCCACAAACTTCGTTAAACAAATAAGTCACACATACATATTTGCATATTAAATATAATATAATTACATTTAGCAATATATATTTATATATACATACATATAATATAATATGGTTATATACTTACATTATAAAAATCAACAAAAAAATAGCCTAAAACCAAAAACAAAAAATACAAAATATAGCTATAAAATGAAAACTATTCATACTCGTAAATAATATGCATATATGTAAGTATACCGCAAGAATATAAATAGTTTGTTCAGCAATATTAATTAAAAGTACCTTTAAACAAATTTAATACCAATGTACTTCATTGGAGGCACTCTTACAACAATACTAGAATAACAGGAACAAAAACACGCTGTACTAAATACAATATGAATCCCAGCAAAGAACCATCCGATAGTTATTGTAATCGTAAAAACCCAACTAACTAACTGTACTTTTCAACTACGTTCACACACAGCGCAGCGTGTTCCATATTTGCATCTGTACATATGTAATCCCATATGAGCAGATAGTGCCACGCCTACTCACTCGCCCACTTACGTACAATATATATATATATATATGTATGTATAATTAACTAACTAAATACTTGCCTCTTTTCAATGCATTCAAATGTCATATTCGGCTACCGATACATACATGCATACATACATACATATGTATATGCGTTTATACGATTATATATTATCATAATAGAAGTAGTTAACCGTTAAATAGCTGCATATGTGTATAACAATAGTTGCAAGTCCAAAACGAACCCGTTTGTCAAGCGTCTCTCTATTTCACATTTACAGCCACTTCGGCAAGGTTAATCAACTAAATTTAGCTTTCCAAATTAAACTAAACGTTTATTAACGGTCTATTAGCCCATATACTACGTCATTAGACCCCTTAAAATTCTAACTGTTTAATTCGTTTTCTTCACATACATACATATTGTGTAAATTTCTGGCCACTCTCTCGCTAAATAAGTAATAATATTGTGCAAATAATCTCAAGCTCAGTTTCAACGTGTATATATATGTAAATATTATAGTGTTGAATAATAATATACATACATACATACATGCATATAGTGTAAAATCCTTCATTGCCCACGTTCATTAATAGAAACGTACAGTTTCAAAAGATGAGATAAACGCGTTACAAAAGCAAAATAACAACAACAATAAAAATAAATATAATATTAACATTAAGAAAAACAATAATAATAAATATTATATAATCAGGAGTACGATATTGGTGTATAGTAAAGGCAACCCTTGGAACGTTGTGGAACATATAAATAAGAACACTACACACAATCTTTGTTTAATCGTACTGTGAATTCAATTTTCTTTTAACTAGATAATTGCCAACTAAAAAAACGATAAACGTAACGGATCAAATGTAATATAAAGTTCCGAATAGTTTATAATACGACGCTCTCGAATAACGTTCTACAGGCAATGTTTCTTCATTCTTTCAGCAGTGCATTAGATTAAGTTAAAAGATCGATCCTAACTGAGATGTCGTTTGAACAGAGAAACACCTACATATACGAAACACCTCGTATAAATGATCACAGGGCCAACACAAATAGATGAAGCGCTTTGAGCCGAACACCAGTTTGTTGAGGCGGCTAATGTCAGATTCGGCTAAATCGCCTGGTTCGCCGAAGAAAGGCTGTCGAGATGCTTCGACCTCAGCTTGACAAAGTCTGAACAAAGTCCAGTGAGATCTCATACGTTTGCGAATCAAAATAGCTGGGGTCCAGTTTAAAATAGGAATCCGTTTGCAATACAAGGCGAGAGATAAAAAATCAGAAATGTTCAGTAAATATTTTTAAGTAAATGTTAAGCTTTATCCTTCGTTATTTCGTAACACAAATTTCTGTGATCAGCTGTTTCTTGTTTGCTCGAATTGAACTGACACTTTATTCTCCCAATTTATCCGCCTTTGAAGCGGTTTTCTACACTCTAATCTCATGCCAGCGAATTTATGACAGTTTTCAAAATTGTTGCCGCGCAAATTATATCTCAAACGAGTGGACTTCATACGTAAATAGCAGGGATTACACTATTCCTTTTTCTTTTTACGGCTTGGATTCGATATTACATAATTAGAATCGGTGATAGAAGTATTTGTTATGTCTTTTTATACCATATATCATGCTAATCTTCTTCAGCTTGTGCTGGGTTCAATTTGTTATAAATTTGCCCAAGATTTTTTATATTGATTTCTAGAATAATTCATGATATGATTTATGGCTTGAGAGTTAGACTACGATTTTCATCTGTTGCAAAAATAAAGACAATAGGAAGATAGATAATGGAAGAAAGTGGTAAAAATAGCTTCACATTTGAAGGAATTGAAATCATTTCCAATACAATCAGAGCACAGCTGATCAATAAACATTGAAAACTTCAAATTAGCATATTTCGAATTAAAAAAATGTCTTACTCATCTTACAGCGTAGTCTTTCCAATGCGAGACAGGTGCACAAGAGGTGGTCCATTGTTTCTCTGGTGCCCTGCTCTCGACATTTCCTGCAGTTTTCTCGATCTGCCAGCCCCTTTCTGCGGGCGTGTGTCGCTCTCTTTATACTAGTTGAATATTATTTCGATTCATAAATTTAAATACATAAAGATAAAAAGCTAAAACTACCATATATCAAGTCAAGTCGAAGCACCATTGAACGAAAAAGTAAAAAGAGTAAATAAATTCTAATAAAAAAGTATACGTCGAAAGAAATTATTTTCTGATTAAAAGATCTTACTAACTACTCGTAAGTGGTATAAATCAGTAACGGCACATCATAACAGTTGTCTTTGTCTAACAATATAAATCTCAAGCTCAGAAACTCATAATAATTTATATGTTTACTTCTGTAAAACAATCTTAAGCCTGGAACTTATCGAGAGTGGCGTTGTAATAGCTTAAAGAACAAATGAAGAAAGCCTCGTGGAATATTTTCTTTGCTCCTTTAGGTACATAGAAGACATACATTAATTTGTTGTTAATCTAACTGCATTCATGAATTCACATAGAGTTTGTTAATTTGCTTTGCATAATTAATGCCTCAAGAGTATTTCGTTTAACAAAATGCAAATAAATGTAAGTGTTGAGAGAAAAATTTAAAATCTAAGACATCACTGCCATGTTGCAAATAACTTAATAATAATCAACAATGTATATACGAATAAACTTATTTCGTCTGTCATGTACTTGTAGTGAATAAAATCTTAATTTAATGAGCGCACTTGATTACATTTTTCATTTCTCACATAACCGATTTGCTCACACGCTCATTTTTCATTTGCCATCATGTATGCGTACTCCAAGAGTGCAAATTTCCCTTACATATCCTGCCTAGCATGTACACACGTATGTAGAGGAGGAGGCGGAGAGTCGAAGCTTAATTTATTGTGCAATAAAATGCAGCTTGAACGTGTCATATCAATTTTATTTTAAATAGCAAAGAGCGGGACCGCGTAGATATGCTCATGCCACGTATGCGGGCGCGGCAACCTATGAGAGAGAGGGAAGGAGGTGTAGTAATGAATATGCACACAAGTGTTTATTGGAAGCTTATGATAAATGTCCATATATACAAAGACTTGTTTGTGTGTGTGCAATAGTATTGATGGTGGCACTCACCGTAGACCGCACCACAAATGGTAAAACGAATTAGAATGTTTTTATGTACGCATAAGAAACGAAAAAGAAGCCAGCAATTAGCAATTTGAGCATTTGTTGAACGAAGCATTTTAGTTAAGCGCAAATACTATTCTTAACCCCAACTAGCCACATATAGTATATATACGTAATATACAACAACACCGCACACGCCAACACACCCAAGCAGGCCGGAAGTAAGACATTTAGCGAGCATTCGGTGAGAAAGCCGCAATTATTAGAGGATTTGAAGTAATTAGCAAAATTATAATATACTGTACTTGTAGGTATGTTACTTGTAGCAAGCATAAATACTTCGGCGCACGCACAGTATACACACACTCATGCATACATACGTAGTAGCACGTAGTAGCGCGTTGAATGGAAATCAGTGTGACAGTAACTTGTCTGAAAGGCCTTACAAACTTCATTGCTTAGCGACTTGCGTACTAAACCGAGACAGGGGCAAATAGGCAGTGTAGTTAGGTACATATGTAGCAGGGATAGTGTGACATATATATAGCTGAAATGGAACTTTTCTAGTGTGTGAAGTTAGCCCGAGTGACACAATACACGACGACAAACCCGAGTTATGCCTTATTCTACTAAACTGAACAACCTTATCCGTGATACGATAATTCTACATGTACATGCACACACAAGCGGTGGCTATTCCATGCTTGCTTTCAGCCAAGCACACCTTTTGTTGCTTATAGTCGGTAAATTTTCTTTTGGTGTCGCTCATAGCGTTCAGATGGGCGACATGAGTGCGAAAGCTTGAGTCGAACAAATTTTTTTAGATTTCTTTCATATGACATTCTCAAATTTTTGTTTCTTGCAAACTTCCTCACCCAGCAAATTGTTTAGACGACTAAAGCACCATCCTCTGAACATAGGCTTAACAAAAGGATCTTATTTTTATATTAGTTTATTAAAAAGAACTTAGATTGATGTGTATCTCAAAACTGCACCGCAAAGCTGATTTTTTTTTAATACCAAATATTTGCGATTATCATGAATTATGTTAAGTGAAAAATAACACTTTTTTTGGAAAAAATAAATCCAGATATAACCTGATAATTTCCCTTATTCTTCACTATAAATCAATTTCTCGCTGAAATATCCGGAGAGAATTGTCTCATTTACAGTTTATAATAAGCAACTGCTTGATTTGCTTTCAATGGAAGAATGAACAAGAAAACGGAAATAATAAAAAACTATATTGAATATATATTAACCTTTCCTTTCATCCACACTTGATCCCAGTTTCTAAACAATAAATACACCTCTTTTTTCAAAAGTGTGGTCCTCCGGCGGGCAATGGCAATCTGCCGAGCGTTATTTCCGCGAAATCTTGCGAACCCACAAGTTGTGGGATGAAATCTATGTCAAGCTTTCATTATGGCACAAAGCTT